TATAATAATTAATTTTATATTATAATTTATTTATTATATTTATAATTTTAATAACATTATATTAATTTTTTTATTAATTAAATATTATATTAATATTATATTAATATTATATTATATTATATATTAATTTTATATTATATATTAAAATTTCGACTATATATATATATATAAAGTGACTATTCACTACACTTTTTTCTTTTTTTATATTTACGTCTCGTACGATAAAAAAAACACATCACTTTTAGAAAGAAAATATATATTTTTCTGCGACAAAGTGAAATTTCAAAAAATAAAAATAAAAAAGGAAGACTAAACAAAATAAAAGAAGTAAAAATATTCCATTGATTTTCAGATGAAGAGATTTGTGTGTTTGAAAATGATCACGAGGATAGGCACGTTCTTCGATCGTACAAAAATTCGCACACAACATGGAACACGGGAAATAAGTTGTCACATCGATTTAGTGCCGGTGATGCGGACAACGTTTCTTTCTATCAAGCGTTCAACGCCCTTCATCAACTTCCAGAATCACGCTCCTTGAAATTCGAGATATTTGATAGCTGAGCAAAAATAGAAGAGGAAAATCGTCATGATTGTCGAAGAATTTTCGACGAAACGTAAAAAAAAAAAAAAACAAAAGAAAAAGAATACCTTGTCTCGTGTTTCCGGTTCGCAACGCGATACTCACGATACGTCAAAATTGTGGTGGTTGATTGGTGACTCAAAAAAAAGAAATAAAAAAGATAAAAAAAAATATTACGATGAAAAAAAAAGAATGCAATACAAAATTGAACAAAAAAAAAATTTTTAACTTCGAACGCGGAATAATATCCGCAACGTTCTGTCAATTTTTATCATCGAAATTTGGTCCCTCTTTCTCTCTCTCCCTCTATTGATCCTTTATATATATATATATATTTCTTTTTTTTTTTTGAGGGACAGAAAATACTTTTGATGAATGATTTTCAATTTTAACAGGATCTATAATTCGATATATTCGAATTGCTCTATATATTATTACATTATATGTTACAAAAAAAAATAATAATAATAAACGTATGAGAAAGAAGTAAGAAAAAGAAAAAAAAATATTATATAAAATTAAAAAAGGAAGGGGGGATGATGTGTTTTAATATTTTCTGTGATATATACTTTTTATCGCTTTCGACGAAAATCTTTCGCCTAACTCGGTAAACCAACGAGAACAAAAATTCGTTACTTCCGAAAATTCCAAAGTTCGACTAGGGAAAATCTCTTTCTGATATTTATGAGATATGTACATTGAATATTATGAAAAAAGCATGTAAAACGAATCGTCAGTCAAACTCTTCTACCCTTTTCGAGTATAAACTCATCGTTCGTTTGTGCCTCTAACTTTCTATTTTTCATTGATTATTTATCTCTCTCTATCTATCTCTCTTTCTCTCATCCTATTTCTCTCTATATTTCTATTCTCAAAATATCAGTGATTTCCAACTGATATCGTACGCAAGTACACACAAATACATTCAAACATATCGATCGTGAAAAAAATGAAATGATCATGACACAACCCCGCATATCAAATTCGATATATTTTGGGGTACCAAAAAGTAATCAAAATTTTTCTTCTTCTGGTGAAAAGACATTTATTTATTAAAAAAATTTTAAATGGTAATCAACAAAAAAATTTATGCATTACTTTCTAACACTTTTTGCCTTACGAAATTGTTCAATTCGTATTTTCATTGACACAAATTAACTGTGAATGAATTAATCGAAATAATTTTGATTACTTTTTGGTCTCTTTGTAATTCCATTGACTATGAACAAGCGTTGTTATATTATATTGGATGGGCAACTAAGTCATTGCAGATTTTGTTTTACATCTAATTCAGTTTTTTAATAACAAAATCTAAGAAATTAATAAAATTCTATAAATGTGGCATTATGACATTGCTTGACCGATGGTAAAAAGTCATCAACAAACATGGACAGTACCTAATTGAATAAATTTATATTTCATATATTAAATTTAAAATTAATATTATTAAATTTATTATTTTATATATTAAATTTATATTATATATTTTAAACAAAAATTTGGAATTTTCATTTTTATTTAAAATCTGCAATCAGTTGCCAACCCAATATTTGCCACATTAATATGATCGACCTTCTCCACAAAAGTGTTCTATATTATATTTTGTGCGGAAATAAAAAAGGGAACAAATGGTTCTTTGTGAGGTCAATATACATACATATTATGTAATCTATACTTTTCCCAAGGGAAAAAAAAAGAATGAAGGTATCATTTTTCTAGAATCTAAACAATTAACGAGATTAGTTTGAATAGTTGTATGCATGTATATATGTATGCATGTATGTATGTATGTATGTATCTAAGTATGTATGTATGTATGCATGTATATTACATAGATATACACACATACGTTTATATAATTTTCTTTTTTATTTGTTAAAAACTCTCTTGCTTGCATCATTCCACGCGCGTACACACTGCTGTGATCGATTAAAAAGTAATCATTTTTGAAAAGAAAATGATAAAGAAAACGTGCAATACATATATAGATATACATATATACTTAAAGGTTGCTAAAAAGGACATAAAAATAATAAAAAAATAAAAAAGTAGAAAACGAAAGAATTCATGAGAAGAAAATGATGGTGGAACACGACAAATTGTCGTGTTTCGTGTGAAATGTAAAAACCGAGAAAAAAAATTAAAAAAAAAAACAAAAAGAAAAAAAGAAAATACCCATCGATCGTCGCCTAATTTTAACAGTTAAATCGTATTAAACGATTAAGTCCTTCGAAGACTTTAATAATAGTAGCGTAGCAATAATGAGCACAATTCTTTTCGATGTATACTCCTCCGACGTCCAATTTAGAATGATGAAATAGTTATTAAGGTATAGAAAATCTCTCTCTTTTATGCAATCGTGTCTTTATATACGAGACACCTTAAAATCGGGCCGAATTATGCATAAACAAATCAAGCGTTATTTTTTTACAATATTTTTTTTTCTTACAAGAAAACTCTAGTTTTTACAAAATTAAGTTCATCTGTTAATTTGAATTATATTTTAAATTGTATTATATTTTAAAATAATATAATATTCTATTAAATTTATTATTATTTATTTTTATTTATAATATATATATATATAATATATTAATATATTTATTTATTAATATTATATTATATTATATTAAAATATAATATTATATTATTTTTTAATATAATATTTATAAAATATATAATATAAATATAATATTATGTATTTTAAAATTTTGTATTATATTTGTATTATATTTTAAACAATTCATTATACAAATATCAGAGTACATAAAAGATTCAAATTTATTAAAAGATCAGACAGTGTTCTGTAAATTGAAAATGAAATGGTTTATAACGTAAAATGAACAAACTGACGCTTGATAATTGAATGCATTACTTGGTCCAATTTATTTTGGAAAATAAGTAATATTCAATAAAACATTGTCGAGAGCACGAACTCGTACGAATTGTTTGAAACATAATAGTGTATCATATGAAGTTATATAACATGTATAACTTATATATTATCTTGTACATGTAAGTAAACTCTATCGAATGAAACGGTATAGGTGTAAATAATAAAACGATATATATATCGAAGATAAATATGTGATAAGGCACGGCTTTTGGCCATGCACGTAAAACGTATATTCGTTCAACTTCGTCGTTACTTGTGAAAATTCGATGTCGATTATTTTTCTTTTATTCGTTATTATGAATATTATTGTATTAATGTTTAATAAAAATTCCAAATTTTGGGGGGGAAACATAACGAAAGAATTATCGATACTTGTTGTATTAAATTTGAAAATTACAAAAAAAAAAAATAATAAAAAAGATCCCTAATAGCACAAAATATTGAAAAATATTGAATACATGAGTATTTAATATTAAAAATAGATTTAATGTCTTCTTAATATTAAATACACATATATTCAATATTTTTCAATATTTTGTGCTACTAGGGGAGCTTATTCGTTATGTCGATCGGTGGTATAAAATAAGAACAAAGTTAATCTTTTATGAAAAAATAATTAAATAAATTTTGTGTAAAAAAAAAAATAAAAAAATAAAAATCGTTCTTGTTAGTCGTCTGTCAAATTTTCACAAGTTATGGTAGAAGTGCTGTTTTATAAATATTTCATATATTTTGTTATACTGTTTCTATGCTCTTCACACTACGATTCAAAAAAGAAAGCTATTCTTAATTAGTATTATAATCTATATACTTCGTCTCCTCTACTCGTAGTTTTTACACTACTTCCCCACCGAACTATATATATATGATAAAATATCGCATACGACGCCACACAAATTTATCAGAGTGAAAAAAGAAGAGAAAAGAAAAGAAATGAAAAAAAAAATGAAATTAACCAAAGAAGTAAAGCACAAAAAATTCACATGGGTTAAGTTATTTCTTACTGTTCGTCCATAAATTAGTCAAAAAAAAAAAATTCTTCCTGGAAGATTTTTTTTTCAAAGATCAAAGTATTTTTCACAACATTGTATTCTTGACGAAAAATGACGAATTAAATAAGAAAATTATTGTTAATACAACGTTGTGAAAAATGTTAATGTATATATAATATATAGATATATGTGATGTATCTAATATTATCCCATCTATAAAAATTAGTTTATAAATTTACGTTAAAAGGATAAAAAAAAAAGTGGAAAAATTATTGACAAATTTTTAGCTCAAAACTCTATCACGTTTTTGTATTGTAAATTTTTTATCTGATCTAGTTAGAAAATATATCAATCTACGGCCTTAAATATAAATGATAAAAAAGTAACTTATTTTTTTCACGACACATAATTATAACAGTAATAACATTTAAAAAACGATTTCTATGGGATCGATAATCATGGCACGCATATTGTCTAGCGGAATAAGTATTACAACATAACAATAACAAACAAAAAAAAAGAAGCAAATGAATTCTATTCGAATGATCAACAAAATAACAAAATATTGATTATTAAATTTTATTTCTAATAAGTTCCATTGCGACTTTACACGAAAATACAGGATTATTATTTGATTTGAAGTTTTGTAGATAATTGAGTAAAATTGTTTGAATCGTTTTGAATAAATTGTAATTTTAATATTTAAAAAATATGATCATATCCGCAAAAGCATAAAAATGATCATTTGTCTATTACATATCGATTGGAAATTGACTAATAAGAGATGAATACGAATATTGTACAAATTCGTCGCGCAAAGGAAAAAAAAGATATATAAATTATTCTAAAATATGGAAATGTATTTATTATAATATATCGTTAGTAATAAATGAATCTCTTAAATCTACCGCAACTTGAAATTTCGCGGTTTAAAAATATATAATACATATTTTTTAAAAACATATATAAATATATATATGTATATACGTTGTAACACTACGTAGTTCCCCTCTTCGCGTGCCTATTATTTTGCAAAATTTCTTTTTAAAAGCAAATAAATCTATACTATATTCATTTAGAGTTCTCAATTAAATATACTTTATTATTTAATTAATTTGATGCAATTATAAAAGTAATTATGGCGACTCACGAAATAAACTAAGTCTAGCTTATCTCTATTACAAAAAGTTTATGTAAATTGTAAATATTCTTGGATGCTGATTGTACAGTGTGCATCATATAATTGATTCCTTTGTTCTGTAAACGGCATTACGAATTATTGCATAAATAAATCACAGGAGTAATACAGAAATTGTATAATATTTCCCTTATATATATTTAAGTTTTATATTTCAAAAGAAAAATAAGGATGAACAAAAATAATATTTTAATTTCTTATTTACGTAAGAACAATCAAAATGTTTTTATGAATCGCGCTATAGAAATTATTGAAAAGTTTACACGACTACAACGCATGCTCCATTTTATTTTTGAAGATTAAAATCAATGAAATTAAACTTTAATAAATTATAATAGAAATTATATATTGAATTTTTAACGAATTTACTTAATAATATTTGATTCATAATCAGTTTCATTTTGATTAGTTATATTTAAACTTCTTTATCAAAGGAGTTTGGACCTAGATTGAATGTATCAAGTAGATGGCGCCACGTATACAAAAAAATATCTACAATTTATATGGTTAGATAAAATATGGAAAACAGCTAGAATATATTCTAGTAGTTGCTCACAGTCCAGCAGATTGTATCGTTTTTGTTAGATGTCATTAAAGCAGGCTGAAATTTTTAGCCACCTCGAAAATGGCCACATAATATTTATTTTTTCTTGCTTTTAAATATATATCAATCATAATTGATCGCCAAAAGTGCTAATACTCATATCCTTTTTAAAAAACCTTAATGTGATTCAAAGTTAATTTTCTGAAAAATAAGTCGTTCATTAAATATAGATTTTTATTTTTTAAATAGAATTAAAGATATTTGAAGATAAAAAAAGAAATTAAAATGAGTGAGGAAAAACCAATACCAAATAGTGCCAAATTTGCTATCGGAGGTCTTTCTGGGTTTGTACTTGATCATTTCATTTTACTAATTTTTTTTTTTTTACTTACTCAAATTTTACTTGAAGTACTTCATATTATATAATTTATTATAATATTTTACATTTTTATATGTATATATATTTAATATTTAAAAGAGAACAAAATGTTTCTTTCTTTTTTTGCCTCCAGCAGTAATTGAAATATTTAAAAAGTCGGCGGTAATGAATTTAGAGGTCAAATGGTTAATTATTACTTACGTTAGCTACCAAACTTATTTTTAACTCTTAATAACGCGAATTAATAATATTAAATGATGCTAAAAGAATTTATGCATTTTATTTGGCCTATATTTCACAATGTCTGACTATTAATAAAAGATACTCTCAACCTCGGAAATTTCAACTAGTTAATATTTCTTGAATATTTATAAGAATAAGAAATATTTTCAAAATTTCTCTTTTTGAATAATTATAAATAACAGATTTTAATAAAATATATGTATATACATGTGTATAATGTGTAATAAAAATATGTTAAAATTATGATTTAGAAATAGAACAAAAAGTATTAAGAATGATAACAAATGTTTTTTATGTATAATTATAGAATGGGTGCAACAGTCTTCGTACAACCATTAGATTTGATAAAGAATCGAATGCAACTAAGTGGACAAAAGACTTCAACGTTTACTGTTGTATCCAATATTATTAAAAATGAAGGTTTTTTCGCTTTTTATAATGGCTTATCAGCAGGTTTATTAAGACAAGCAACATACACAACTACTAGGCTAGGAATATATAATTGGCTTTTTGAAAGAGCCTCGTAAGTAAATGAATTATTAAAATAAATTTATATATAACTAACTATAATATACTCATTATCATAATATATTTAGAAAAGATGGCCAACCAGTGTTTGTCGTAAAAGCAGCATTAGGAATGATTGCTGGTGGTTTTGGTGCATTTGTAGGTACACCTGCAGAAGTAACATTAATACGAATGACTGCTGATGGTAGACTGCCACTTGGTAAAAATCATTGTTTTTTAATAATTTCATATAATTAATTTTAATATTATAATCTTCTTAATGCACTCAATATTTTTAGCTCAAAGACGCAATTACAAAAATGTGTTCGATGCATTATTCCGTATAATTAAAGAAGAAGGATTGCTTACGTTGTGGCGAGGTGCAATTCCAACTGTGGGACGTGCAATGGTTGTAAATGCAGCCCAATTAGCTTCATACTCACAAGCAAAACAAATATTACTTGATACGGGTATATCTTAAAAATATATGCATAACGATAGTTCATTTTGTTAAGTATCAATAGTATATTTTAATTTGTAATAATGTGTTTTTAAAACAGGTTATTTCAAAGAAAATATCACATTGCATTTTTCATCCTCCATGATCTCTGGAATAATTACAACTATTGCATCTATGCCTGTAGATATTGCTAAAACAAGGTAATTATTAAATTATTTTTTAAATATATATATTATTTACAAGTTATGGTTGATTATATTTCTTCTGTTAGGATCCAAAATATGAAAACTATTAATGGAAAGCCAGAGTATACTGGAGCATTGGATGTTCTTGGAAAAGTTATTCGTAATGAAGGACCATTGGCACTTTGGAAAGGTTTCTTTCCATATTATGCACGTTTGGGTCCTCATACGGTCCTTACATTTATATTCTTAGAACAAATGAACAAAGCTTACAAAACATATTTTTCATGATTAGGAATTTTGATGTAATATATTATCCTATGCAAAGATGATAATGAGACACCAAAAATTATTTCTCATATTATTATTTTTGTTATGTAAAAGGTAACTGGTATACCTTGCACAAAGCGTATGTATTCTATTAACATATAGATGAAATTATATGATTATGTTTTATTTCTCTAGTATCCGTAAATTCATTTTTCTTTAAATAATTCATTGTTATTGAAACTGAGATTCCATTAACGACTAGGCATATAACAATTTTGTTTATATGCGTACAATTTTCTTTTTATCAATACTAATTTTTTTGATTCATTATCATAATGCATACATTTAACTATAACATTTAATTTGTTCAAACATTTTGTAATATTTTTGCTGTATGTGAACACAATATTTTAAATATTTTTTAAATTGGATCATATAAATGTAGAATAAGTTACTAGATCTTTCATTATAACTAAACAATGAGACAATACATTCTTAAAACATTCTTTGCAGCTGAGCCAGTCTGGTACGGCTCTGTATATTCATTATAATATTACTTAATATATATATATATATATATATTTGTTATTTTTCGATGTTTATAATAAATCATTTATTTTTATTTATGGGAAATACAAATTTTATATTTTATTATATTGTTAGTTTGTTTTTAATGAATAATTTAGAATAAATTAAAAATGTGTAGTAGTAACAAAATACAAAAATATGTAAGTCAGTAAGTACAAACAATATATTACCAGTTTTGTATGCTATTTCAGAAGTAAATGCTTTATTAATAAGCAGGTGTACATAATTTTTACTTTTCCACTAATAAAGGAAGAACCAAATTGACAGGACACTGGTTTTAATTCTACACAATTGTAGATCAGTTTATTTTATATCAGAAAAAAAATAAATTTGTTATAGTTTAATTAAAAAAAAAAAAAAAAAGGAATAGAAAAAATATACATAAGAGAGAAGAAAAGTTTTGAGCCTAAACTGTCAAAGATTTATTTTTCCATCTGAAACAAATTGATATATAAAAATGTATATGTAACTTTTTCCTTTGTTTTCTTTAAAATGGTTTGATCTCAAATTTTTTATTTAAAAAAAAAATAATTTTTTATGTTGAGCTTCAAATCTTTTTAACCCATCCTATTTATATAAGTTGTGTTTATATATGTGTCGCCATTTTAGTTTTAAAAAGTTTTACTTGATATGGTTGACGTTTACTCTGTTGTCAACAATGAAGACAAGATTAAAATGAAGAACATTATTTTATTTATAGATACTTTAAAAGAAACTACGTTAAATCAAACTTTAATCCGTATTTTACTATGGTTTATATTTTAACATTGAATAAACAAAACAGATAAATAAAATGAAGCATACATTTAAGAAAACATAAGTTTGTTTTTAGGTTATGTGATATTTTGTATAAAAAAATGTTGTTTTATTGATATAGCAGTCAATTAATTAAATTTTATATCAAAATTTAAATTAATTTATAGTTGTTTTTAATATTTATATAAATTTTATATTTTAAAATGGCAGTAAGGAGAAAGAACAGAAATTGGAACGATAATGGTTTTGAAGATTGGGTATGTAAACATTTTTTTTTCCTTTTGTTTCAAGTTCTCCATTAAATTTGTAATATAAAATTAAATTTATAAGTTTTATATATATTAATAAAAATCACGATAATATTTTATGATATGATATATTTAAATGAAAGTAATGATTTGTTTTTAGGGAGGTTATATGGAAGCTAAGAAAACAAAATTAGAAGAACAATTTCATGAAGAAGCACAAAAAGAATATAAAGACCCATCGAATTTATTTAAAGGAATATCTATATTTGTTAATGGTTATACTGATCCAACAGCAGATGAACTAAGACAGTTAATGATGGAACACGGTGGAACGTACCATCATTACATGCGACCCAGAATAACAACCCATATAATTGCATCCAACTTACCATATTCTAAAATTGTACTCCATAGAAAAGCTCAATGTCCAATGCCTATTTGTAAGCCTGAATGGATAATAGATAGCATCAAAGCTGGGAAGGTTTTAAATTATGAGAATTATTTGCTTCTTACTAATAGTACTGGTAGCCAACCACAACTAAATTTTAAAATGAACAATAAAAAAGATAATGTGAATAATACAATAAATGATAACAATAATATGATGCAAAGTATCGTTGAACCATCTACTGCAATAAATATTACAGCAGTTTCTACTAGTAAAGATTTCAATCAAGACATTAATAATTCTACGAATCTTACGAAAGCAAAAGGAACAGCACTTTCATCTAAAAATTCAGAATTCATATCAGAATTTTATAACAATTCGCGATTACATCACATTGCTACAATGGGTGCAACCTTTAAAGATTACATCAATGAATTAAGAGACAAGAGTGATGGAAAATTTCCTGGTTTAGAACGATTGAAGAAAATGAAAGAATTTAAACAAAATTCTCAAAATTCCAATGATTCATACTTAACGGAAGATGATATGTTTACTCCTCAAGAAAAACAAAATACAATAATAAAAAAAGGACCGGTCATAATGCACATAGACATGGATTGTTTCTTTGTTTCTGTAGGTCTTAGAAGTAGGCCACATTTAAGAGGATTACCTGTTGCAGTGGCACATGCCAAAGGGAATAAAAGTACTAATACTGAATCGAACAATGTAAATGATAATGATCAAGATGAAGAAGAATGTGGTTCTTTTTCTGAAATTGCATCATGTTCGTATGAAGCAAGAAAAGCAGGTGTAAAAAATGGAATGTTTTTGGGTGCAGCATTAAAAATATGTCCCGAATTACGTACAATAAAATATGATTTTGAAGAATATAAGGAAGTATCATATAGTTTGTACAACATAGTAGCATCATATACATTAGATATCGAAGCAGTAAGCTGTGATGAAATGTATGTAAATTGTACTAAAATATTGGAAGAATCAAATTTGATGCCTATGGAATTTGCAACAGTCATAAGAAATGAAATTAGGGAAGCCACAGATTGTCCAGTATCAGCAGGATTTGGTAGCAATAAATTAAGAGCAAGATTAGCAACGAAAAAAGCTAAACCTGATGGACAATTTTATATTGAAGATAATAATATTCTTTCATATATTGATACATTAAATGTACAAGACTTACCAGGTAATGAAATATTATTATTATTATTATTTCTAAAATTATTATAATGTATTTTTTTAATTAATGTTTATTAAATTAATAGGAGTCGGACATACAACCGCAAGAAAGTTACGTAAGATAAATATAAATACTTGTGTAGAATTGAGATCGTTATCTTTACGAACACTACAAAAAGATTTTGGGAAAAAAATGGGAGAGTTATTGTATGATATGTGTCGAGGTATTGATAAAACAAAGTTGAATTTAGAACATGTAAGAAAATCTGTATCAGCGGAAGTGAATTATGGCATTAGGTTTGAAGATAATGGCGAAGCAGTTGATTTTTTAAAAAAATTATCTACTGAAGTACATAGCAGATTAAAAAAAGCTAATGCTAAGGGAAGATGTATTACATTAAAACTCATGGTAAGAGCTAAAGAAGCACCTGTAGAAACGGTAAAGTTTATGGGTCATGGAATTTGTGATTGTATAACAAAATCAAAAAATCTAATGGCACCCATAGATGATCTTATTATTATTACAAAGTAAGCGTTTTAATCATTTATTTTTTGCTTAATTTATTTAATTATCAATAATTAAAATATAATTTTAAATTTTATTGGACAATTTATTTTTACAGAGAAATTATTGGTATATGGAATCAATTACATCTAATACCTCAAGATATGAGAGGAATAGGTATTCAAATTTCCAGATTAGAAATACAGAAAAATAAATCTAACGATAATAATTTAATGAATTTTGTTAATAAAGCTAAACAACCACAAATGATAAATATTAATTCAAACAAATGCAAAGATGGTGAAAATAATGATTTGAAAAATAGTTCTGTTAATAAAGAAGCAGCAGCAACATCTTCAAAAACAACTATTAGTAATAACAATAATATTGTTTCGAAGCCTAATAATTCATGTTTGGAAAACACAGAAGTGGATATTATAGATACTTTACCAAATAATCACGATAAAAAAGATTCAAGTAATAATCTAATGAAAAACAATATTTCTTCTCCACTTAATCGTTCAATAATTTTATTACCCTCCCAAGATATAAACGAGAGTGTGTTAATTGAATTGCCAGAAGAAATTAGGTCAGAGATACTTGAAGCTAAATTGAAAAAACAAAATTCTTCAAATAGTAAATCCAAATCAGAAGTTGAAATAAATCAAGCAAATAATGTTAATACAGAAATAATTAACTTAAATGTAAATAAGAAAGATGGAGAAAATTCCAAAGTACAAAATACAGTGGATAATAACTTAAAGTCTTCAGAAATTTCTATAAAAGTATCTAATCAAAATGTAGAAAAAAACGATATACCTACTTCATCTCAATCTTTAAGTAACACTTCTGAAAATTATATGTTATCACAGCAAATAGATGAATCTACTTTAAATGAATTACCAGACAATATCAGAACTGAAATAATTAATACAATGTTAAGAAAAAATGATAAGAATAAAACAGTGAAAAATACACAAACACGTCAAGAACAATTCTTCAAACAAACTAAACCAAATTCAGGAAAAATCATGAAAAATGAATTACCACCAATTCAAGAATTAGATATGTCTGTTTTGTTAGAATTACCTGAAGATATACGAAACGATATATTTAATGAGTATAAAAGTAATAAACATCAAAATAATAATAGTTCCACCAGCGGTGCAAATGTATCATCAAATGAACAAACAAATCATCAAAAAAATACAGAAGTATCTGCTAAGCAAAGTGCAGCTATAGAGAATGTATCATTTTCGCAAGTAGATCCTGATTTTTTAGCAGCATTACCAATAGATATGCAACACGATGTGCAAGAATATTGCATTGCTAAAAAGAAAGAAAATATAGTTAAAAATACAAATAATGTATCTAGTAAAAATACTGTTATCAATAATTCCAATAATCAATGGAATGTATTACAATTTCCTAAAAATACAAAGCCATTTTCTAAATTAAAAAATAATGGCAAATATTCTAAAGTTGTTTCCAGTAAAAATAATCACAAGAAAGATATAAAATTAAAGTCTAAAGCTAAAGAGCGCAGTAATACACATGAAGCAGAAACAGCTAGAAAGAGTGATAACATAAATAGTACCAATTTAGATAATAAAGACGATAATATAGTCAAACCATCATCAACCGATATAAATAATAGTAATAATAAAGAAGATAGTATTGACGAAAATGAAATAATATTGCCGTATATTCGAAGTGTTACGAAAAATGATAAAATTACTAATAAATATCGAAAGACCTTGACCAATATTATCAGTAAATTGTTCAATCTTCCAATAGAAAAAGTAAGTTCAATTTTTATATCTAGTTTAATTTTAATTAATACTGTTTTTACCATAAGTATAATACATATCATATTTATTAACAAATCTATCTTTAAATATTTTCAAATCAAAAAGTATAAGAAAAATGGTTTAACTTTAGCAATAATAAGTAAACGTAACGATTGATAATTTATAAAAAAATAGTATATCATTAATTGAAAACATACTTGTTTAGCAAATAATATTTTATAGGGTACATTCATACGATAGCAATATTTTGCAATAATTTCATATATATATGTAATGTAAATTACTTAATAACTCAATATCAAGAAATTATGAGTTGCTTTGCATATTATTTAAAATTTATGGTAAATTAACAAAGAAATCTACAGTGAGAGACATAAGTAATGTTATACTAAACAATGTACATTTCTCTATGCTTAATAGCATTTGAATATTTTGAAACATGTTTAAATATACACGCAGTTAATAAAGAATTATAGTGAAACATTAATAAAAATAAAAAGAAAGGCATATGTGTGTTTATAGATTAAAATGCAGATACAAACATGGATTGCTAGATCTAAATCTGTAAACGAAGTAGACTTTTTATCGGTTACAACATTTCTCAGCATGCTTCCCGAGAAGAAACGCGTTGAAGATTTACATATCCTCTTAAAAACCATGCACAGGTAGGTAAGATAAATTTGTTTTTTTATATGCAAAAAAAAATGTATAATTAATATATGTATATATAAATAAACGCAGGAGGGAATAAAGAGAAGGAAACACCATTTTTTTACTCGTGAATGATACTTAAATAAAAATAATATTCTAGACACAATACATTAACTTACTACATAATTGTTTTCCATTTTTCCTTTTTCTTTTTTTTTTTTAGATGTACGATAAAAACTGGAAATTGCATTTGGCATAGGATATATGGGAAAACAGTGGTACACGTTCAACGTTATATGCAGATCGAATACAACAGCAGTCTAATGGTACCACCAATTAGATGCGATTGTTTCAAATATAACAAAAACGATGTAATATAAATTTCCGGAATTTAATAAATTAATGTTTTTACAATGCGCTTAATAAGAAACGTATTTACAAGCAAACATAATACTTACCTTTAATTTCATCGAACACAGTAACATTTCTTAGATAACATAATAATGTACGATTATCAATAATGCATTTTGTCGCAAGATTATTGTTCAAAGGTTTCATATAAATCGGTAAGAAGTCATAAACCTTGAATTCGTACGTATTTTTGTAATATATATATTTTTTAAATATATTTTTCACTTTGTAGTTGGTACGCGCAGGGGTGGTGAAAAAATAGAAAGGGGTGAGTTAGAGACGAGTATTTACTATTCCCATTCGGTAGTACCCGGCGGTTTAGGCGTTAGATCATACAGAACGCGTGAAATGCCGGGTACCGTAGATATTTCAGTCACCATTTTCTTCACCACCTAATAAAAGCCAAAATTTAAGTTTTAATTATTATAGATAGTATCAAAATATATAACAAAAAATCGATTTAAAAGAAAATATAATTCTTACGTGAATTGGTAATTCTTTTCCGGGAATCGCAGGAGTTCCTGTCATAAAATCGTTGGTACAGAATGGCCTAATAACGATCGAACGCTGACACGAAGGCGTTCTAGAAGCAGCATCGCGATCGAAATGTATAGGAATTAGAACTACAGGCATCTGATTAATAACGTCCATGCAACCGTTAGCAGCCAAAACCTGATTTGCTAAATGATCTGCTTGTCTTAAGGTAGCTATCACATTAGATGTAAGATGTGTCTGTGTAATGTCTGTGACAGGATGATGAAGCTGTGGTCCAAAGATATAACATACGCGATTTACATTGTGGCACACACGTGGTATTAACCTCGCAAGGAATAACATATCTTCCCATTCCACTCCTTCTGAGATACTTTCTTCACTTGATAATCCTACTACATAGCTATAAGATCTACGATCTCCCTGTATATATACATACATACATAGATACATCATAATTCTTTGCATTAAATGTATACTTTAATTGTTATATCAAATGAATATCATTTTTCTAATTAAAATAAACATACCTGAACTCCTACAGTACGAATAGGCAAAAGCGTTGCAGCAATATGACGACGACTGGAAACTCTTCGAAGTTGTTGACGTTCATTTTCATTTGTTGCACCTTCTACACGATTTAATAATGCATGTTTTTTCTGTAGCATTTGTTCATACTCTGCCATTATTTTAACTATGACCTATACCGTCAGATTATTAATTAGATATTTATAAACAAATCTAGTATATATTGGAGTAGATTAGTTTCCTTCATTTTATATGATGTCATTACCTGGGTTTCTGAGAAATCTTTGTCCATGTATGGTTCATCAGCACAAAGAATGCGGATAGCAAGACCAGGTCCTGGGAATGGATGACGAGAAACAAGTAACGCTGGTATTCCAAGATCACATCCCAATTGTCTTACTTCATCCTTATGAAAATCTTTTAAAGGTTCAACTACTTGACCTTGTGCTCTCAGTGCTCTCACAAGGTCGCTATCGTTATGATGCGTTTTTATAGCATCAGCTTTACCTGATTTTTGTGATCAATCATTAAAAAATCTTTCATTGATTTTACAGATGTTACATTAATAAAGTTGTATGAATGTGACTTTACCACTTGCCAAGGCACTCGCACTCTCTATGAGGTCAGGCCTGAGAGTGCCCTGTCCAAGGATTACTTCTTCCGGCTTCAAACCCAATTCTGCAATTGCTTCATTGGCTACCCTTACAAAAACATCCCCAATAATTTTTCGCTTTTCTTCCGGATTGGTAGTTGCGCATAACAGTTTTGTTAGTCTTGTTCGTGGAGTTGTAGCTGTACTAACAATTCCTTTGCTGTTTATAGTATTTGCATTCAAGGCTGGATTAATGTTATCCAAAGGAACTGAGGTAGTGCCTTGCATGAAACAATGTGCAGCATTTACTACCCTCAATCTGATTCCTAATTGGGACAAACTCTGTTCCACGAATTGTGTTTCTCCTTTGCGCATGAAGCCATTATTGATATGCAGTGCAATAACTTGATCTTTACTGAGTGCCTTATGCAATAGTACTGCACATACCGTTGAGTCCACGCCTCCGCTCACCAACAACTATGATCGTTTTTTTCTATTTCAATTGACAATTACACTTTTGCATATGTATCATTTAGATTTTTAATCACTTTTAAATATCTTTCGAAATATTTGATCTCAATATATATTCTCGCTACATAGCAATTTCAATAATTTGCTTACTCTACTATATGAATATTTTGAATTTATAAATAAAACATATAATACTTACCAAAACTTTCTTATTATCAACAGCATCTCTGATATACTGAATACATTGTGCTTCCCTATCACGAAGCGTATAATTACCCGTAAGACCAGCTATACCATAAAGAAAATTGTGCAGCATTATTTTTCCATTAGGCGTTAAATCTACTTCTGGATGAAATTGCACTCCATATAAATTCATTTTATCACTGGCTATGCCTACAATGAAGTTTGATGATTTGGCAGTAATACGAAAACCGTCAGCAATCCTGTCTATACTATCTCCGTGTGTTAGCAATACCATTTCTTCTTTTTCCAAGCCCCTAATATATAATATATCAAATATGAGTATACGAACATTCACAAGATACATAATAATTTTTGTTTAAATAGTTATTTTCAGATATAAAATATACACACTTAAACAAAAGGCACTTGGTATCTATTTCAATTGGGTATTGACCATCTTCACGTCCTGATTTTCTTATAATAGTACCCCCGAATTCCTTATTCATCATTTGCATTCCATAACATATTCCTAATACGGGAATTCCTATTCGGAAAATATCTGTATCATATCTGGGTGCATCTTCTGCATAAACTGAACTAGGTCCACCAGAGATAATAATAGCTCTATGAACAAACGAAAATAACAAATCAATTAGATTGAAAATTTGTTTAGTACTTAAGGATATTTTTCTTGATTCTATTTTATATAGTAAATTATTATCATTTACTTATATCCTTTTTCTTGAAGAATGATAGCCGGTGTGTCCAGAGGCAAAATATCGCTATGTATATTAAGCTCATGAACTTTACGATCAATCACTTTTCCATATTGTGCACCAGCATCTAAGATAGCAACACGTTCATCGATACAAGATATTCCAATGGCCCCCTCATTAGCTCCATTATTTCTATCTGCGCGAAACAATGGCCCGTCCGCGCTTTTTTCCATTTCAAATTTACAGCTGTTCTATGGTCTTTGCTGTTATGTTGACAATCCTATAATAAAAATAAATATAATAAATAATTTTAAACATGACAAATGTAATTATTTATATTATATGTTGCAATTTTGTAATATATCATGTTTTTTTTTTTTTTTCAATACTTATCTATATACAAATACTGAAATATGAAATACTTTAAAGTATTTGTGTAAAAATGGAATGTAAAAATTGAACATTTAATTTATAAATTGCTTATCAATATGATTTTATAATTAAAAAATCTTAAAATTTAAAAATTCATTTGAAAATAAATGTTCTTAATTGTGGTTTTTTAAATATTGATAAATTTATATGTAAATTTTAGAAAGCTTAGTAAACCAAGAACAACTTGACTTCAAATAAGTAATATGTAATTATAATGATATGACCTTGTTTCACAATAATTTTTATATGAATAATTATTAGTAAACAAGTTATCACTTGATTACGCTGATTTATTATATAAGCAAACTAGTTATATGATCAGATATTATTTAAAAAAAAATAGAATATATACATATATGTGTATATATGAGTATTTTTAATTTAAATAAATGCTAGAGAGAATAAATCTAGAAAAATAAATTACTCTTTGATAACCTTTTTTTTCTTCATTAAATTATAATTATTTAATGAAGTAACATTTACAGACATTTTTTATAATTTCTTTGTCTTAGACTTTCAAAAATATATTAATATTGATCTCATCAAAATTAATATAATCATTTAATAAAAAAATAAGAAACAAAGTCTACAAACAGTGTATAGATATGCAGTATTTCAATATTTAACAAATAATCACTCAATTGACAAAAAAAAAACCAATGTTAGTTGTTAGTTCGAATGATTTTTTTGTAACATTGCTGATTAATGCAAAGATATAAAGATTTTTTATTTTTTTTTTAATAAATAACATCAAAACTAAGTTAACAACCCTGAATTAATAAATGTCTTTAATGAATATATAAAGAAGTATTTTAATGATTATATGAGTGAACATAATGAACTGTCTCTCTAACACTACTACTGTACTGTGTATATCGAAAAACATAACGCGCTACTTTGCATTCTTGCTTTGAAAAATACGCGGTCCCTTGCGATAAATACATAATCATTCGATTGGGTAACTATGGGAGAGGTAAAAATGGAGTAGAAGAATATTTAGTTAAACACAATTCACCGGTACCGTAATTTTATGAGCACGTTTCATTGCGATCGACGTATCGAGCTGTTTTATATGCTTGATATACTTTGGTTGGCTCGTTTAACGACAATCAAAATGGAATAAAAGACTTACCGAATGAAATCAGATTAATAATATTTAATACACGTACAATATAATCACACAACGTAAAATTAATTACAGGAAAACAGAACCTGCACACTCTGGACGAGGCGGCCATTCAATCGCCACAATGCAGTGACTGCTTTCAGGCTTCAAGCAAACGGTAGAGCCAACCTAAAGACTCGAAATTTTTTTTAAGATACCAGAAATTTCACGAGAAAATCGCTTTATCGACCGGGAGTAACTCATTCACCAATAAAACACATTTTAACTTTCGTTTTTAACCGATCGATTTCGTTATGTCATTGCACCACACAATCAAATGATACTTTTCATTCGTCTCTAAATAGATTTATTATTTATTCAAAACTTTTCAAGTGAGAAAGTTAACTGCGTTATAAGAATTCTTTAATATAAATTATTACGAGACTTCTTTTTTATTTTCTTTTTTCTGTTCTAGATTTAGTCCAATGAGTTTATTACTACTACTGTGCCAGAGCGACGTGCTTACCTTCTTCTTGTTGAAAAAAGATCAACAAAGAAGGAGATACATTCTATCTCAAAATCTTACCAGGAACGTAAATACGGGCCCAGATACCCTACACCTCCCTCTCCCTTCCGCCCTTACACCAATTTCTTTTTTTTTCATTTTAATTATAATTTATGTCTCATATTAGAACAATAAACTAAACAAGTATAAGCAGATATTAGGAATGCAAAAATAAAATAATTAAATGTCATATATCTATGATAAATATAACTTTGTTAAATATTGAGAAATAAATAATAAACACTAAAGTATTAATATTTTAACTTTCAATTTTATATACACAGTGAAACAAGTATTAACCATAAAACCTTACACTATTAAATAGGCTTTTTCCTAGCTCACTAAAATGGTAGGCACCATTACGAGAGTACTCGAAAAGAAGAAAATATCTTCTGTCTCTAACGCTCGGCTTTTTCTGTTATATAGATGTACTGTAGAAGTTTCTTCTTATACCGAAGCGCCATCTGCGAAAGATTAAGAGAAAATGGCATGAACAGTGCTGTAATTAGAATTTGAAAAAATGGGTTTTCGTAAGTAAAAATCTTTTTGTGATTTGATCATTGCAATCGATATTGGATATCGTTTAAATTAATATAAGTCTAATTAAACTTTATATTTGTGTATAATGAAAAATAATATTAATATTGATTATTTAGTTATTGATTTTTTATATATAATAAATATAAATGAACTACTTAATTGAGTTAAGTTTTATATTTGTATATATATATATATATATATATATTCTTGGAAATCTCAAGTTTTATAATGACTCCATATATTTGAATAACTAAGTCTACATTACCGACTGTTACAGATGGTAGCGCTACAGTTAGTATATATTTATACTAAATTATTCAATTGTTAGAATTTAAAATGTGTTAATGGCGAGTAACTTATTACGTGGCACAAAAATTAAATAAATGTTAATAATTAATTATAGTCAAGAATATTAACAATACTATTAGTTAATAATAGTATGATAAACAAATTTATAAATAGATATACCAAACCAATAAAATTTTTTTGCTTTTGTTTCAAGGAAGTAATTTAAAATTATAAGTATAGTGAATATAGTCAATTCAAACACTCGAAAAAATATTATATATATTACTTTTTAATATTTAAAAAACATGTCGATATTTTTTGCTTTTAGAAGAAATATTTTAGACGATTATGAACATCCAGCATCCATTTCGAATTTGATTAAACATGACAAATATTTTTTACCTACCGAAGTAGCAATACATAATAAATCAAACGATTGTTGGGTTTCTTATAATGACAACGTTTACGATCTGACCGACTTATGTAGATTGTGGTTAGGTACACGAGCAATAAAACCTATAATAGCACACGCAGGAAAAGATATCAGTCATTGGTTCGATCATAATCGAAAGGACATTAAATATTACGTTCACCCTGTTACCGGTGTATCAGTACCCTATTGTCCACATGGACCAATACCGGATATATCCGATTGTGTAGTACCTTCCACTACTTGGCGACCGTTAAACAAATGTCCATGGTGGTTGGAAGACAAATATAAGTTAGGCAAACTCACCAAAAATCCACGACCTTGTAGAATTATTAATGTTCTTACTGGAACGAGTTGTGTTATAATGGTAACAATAAATTATTAAATTAATCGTCAATAATTTTCGAACCAAATTAAAATGCTTTTCATTTAGGTTTGCGAAGAGGATACAATTAAACGTATTCAAGAACGAGCTTTAATATTTAATGCAAACGGAAAATCTTACTTGTGGAAATTTGAAGGAAAAGATATCGATCTTGATTGTACTTTAACAGAGAATAATATTCTGGACGAACGTGAACGCTTTGTAGCTTGTGGGCTTCCAGAGGATTATTATATTCCGAGTCTTATGTGTTATTACATCGATAAAGATGATTTAGGCAAATGTCAGATAAAATGTAGGCGGGATAAAAATTATAGACGAACATATCTATAATATTATTGTTTAATATTATTTTTTTGTTATATATAAAAAAAAAGTTTCCTACACTACCGAACGTTGTACCTAGTACGTCCCAATTATGAAAGATGGCAGCACCATTCGCAAATGCAATGCAATTGTATTTAAAATTATGAGAACAAAATTGAAAAGAGATAATATTAAATATAAATAATTTATAGTAACTTTTATTTGATTAATTTGTAAAATTAAGTTAAATTCGATGTTACTTTTATAGCTTCTTTTTTTTAAATTAAATATGTTTTATTATCATATCAAAAAGGATTATTTTGGATAGGTCAAACTACCTTGACGAGATTTTTGCGAAAAATAAATGAGTTAGGTCCTCGTATAAATATGATTGAGTAGTAAAAAATTAATTAAATACTTTTGATATAGGATCTGCTTGTTAAATCGTTTTATTGATTTATTTTTGACCGATCTTTCGTGTATCTTGATTTATTGGTTTGATTAATATTTTGTCTTCTTAATTTCTTTCTTTCTATTTTATATAAGTAAACACGCTTACCTATATTTATTTTATAAATTTAAATTTCTATTTAAATTTACAAATCGAAGAAGAAGAAGAAGAAGAAGAAGAAGAAGAAGAAGAAGAAGAAGAAGAAGAAGAAGAAGAAGAAGAAGAAAAATATATTTCAGTATAATTAAGTGGAATGACGTTCGTGTCATGGAAGAGAAACGAAGGGATTCATTTTGGTACTACAGTTGGTTGGTCGATATGCTTGTAAATCATTTGAGAGAGCTACCACCCGCGTCTTTTGCAATGACAATTGGTAATAACTATTCCGAAGGAAGGAGGCCACGGTAGGAGAAAGGAAGAGGAGGAAGCCAAAGACATAACCGGGAATCGACGAGCTCGTCTTTTAGAATTGCTTCAAACGGGGAGTAAGTATATGTAAGGGATAGAAAAAGTGTAAGAGAGAAAGAGAGAGAATATGCATGTGTGACAGAGGAAAGAAAAGGACCGAAGTACGGTCATTAGGGCACACGCGCGGCTACGAACATGGTGTAATCGTAAACCGCGAGGAGCATAAAGCGACTCGGTAGAAAAAGTCATTTACTGCGTCTTTCATACACACGTGCGGAGTCAAGCTGGACGTGAAGTTATCCAGAGAGAAAGAGAAAGAAAGAAAGAAAGAAAAAAAGAAAGAAAGAGCAGTGACCCTGAGACTGTGATAGCTACGCCAAGAGGTATCTTTGTCATACCTTCTTTCAAAGATGAACGTCTTCAAGATGAAATTAAATATTAATCGTAGTTAGTACTAAGAGCGAAAATCTAAATAAATCCGAAAAAATGCGAAAAGCTCGATCCTGTTTTTGTCTATCGTAATGTGGGTTTTTACTTGTGAAGTTACGGAACGTGTTTGGTAAAACACTTTTGTAATAATAAATAGCTTATATTTTATTAATTTATTGAATATTAAGAATGTTAATTTATGTTATGTACTTTTATACTGGGAATAGGCGTCATGTTCCGCATTTTTAGTGAGAAATGCAAGGAATGCGTTAGCAATTAAATAGAAGAAAAAATGGTTAATAGTTAATCGGAATGAAGTTCCCTGAAGTGTGTATGATTTTTGTCCAATTTGTAAAAGCTACCTTTTTCTAGATTATACTGAATACATTTTGTCTTTTAAGTGTATATATATATCATGAATACGAATCATCGTGTCATTACGGTACTCATCTAACGTCATCAACCAATCTCTTCACGTAACTACGTCGTTCGAATCGATTTCCAAACGGACCGTTCCTTTCATGACATTTCCAACCGCAATTCGAATAGATATCGCAAATGAGATTGCTACAGTTACCGCGTGTCTAGAAAATAACGGAATAAATGATAAATCATTTAGTAGTATGATTTCGAATGTATGCTGTGTCTTTTTTTTTTACAAATCATTCATACAAAGTTTCAATTAAATTCGACGAATGTGTGATGGGGTGAACGCACGATGACAAACGTCAGGATAAATGGGACACTTCTCTGAGGATATTGATTTAGATCCAAGAGCTAAAGTCTAGAAATAAATACGATAAATGATTAATAATGATTTTTAATAATCAATAAACTTATATATGTATACAGTAGACTCATGTATAACGTGCCTAAGATATTACTACTACTTTAATTTATTCTGTTTCGTAATAGTTTCTTCTTTTTTTCTTTTTTGACCACAATGTTATTAAAAACAGTTTGCGGAAAAGAAGAATTTGTACAATATTTATATGTTTAAAATACATGTGTATTCATGTCAATTATTTTAAGAATAATCAAAACTTTTTTTTATCATATAACATACTAACCGCATTATATGGGAGTCTACTGTACTCGAATTTATTGATTACCTCGCCTTGATTAATAGCTTCTCTTAAAACAGGTATAGCTTCGAGCAAGAGTTTACATTCGTTTTTGTTAAGAGGTGGGATGCCAAGGTACTTTTGAATACCGTCTGGACCTAATTCAAGTTGAGAAGCAAAGTACGTAACTTCTGGTATCACGCAAGAACGAACGTAAGCACATTCTATTACTCCTCTTTGTTGTCGTACAGCTAAAATGATAAAATCATTTAATTATTATCATCGTATATATTATATTATTCCAGGTAATGTTTCATTCATCATTTCGTCGTACATTTGCAAAGTGAAATGCAAAATCTAGCAGTGGCAAATGCCGAAGCATAAATCGAAACGTTACATCCACAATTGGCTTTTAAAACGTCTTCGTCAGCTTTTCTCACAAAATTGGTTAGATTCTTCATCTCTTGCTAAAATAGCAATTACTTTCTTTAAGTGCCTTTCAAATAGTATACTTTCTCGTATGATACTACCGCAACACTTTAGTATAAGTATATACGGCTTGTTACTCGTTGAATATTTATCAAAATCAATAACCATTGATAAATTGACGCGTGGTGTCATTTGAGAGAAGAGAGGGATGCTAGTACACGGACAGCATCCTCCAATAACCGGTACCACGACACATTCCGGTGCTATACCAATCATTTCTGCTGCTAAACTATTTGCTCTTACACAATCGAGAGTGGTCACTCCAAATATACGTTTGCATTCATAGATTCCAGCTTTTTTATACATTTCTACTGCCACGGGTACTAAACTGTTAACCGGGTACATAGCGATTGCTAACATTGCCTGTAATTAAAATACAAAAAGATATTTTAATTATAAAATGTATTAGTAAAAATGATAAAATAACATTAATAACATTGGTTTCGTTTAATAAAAATAAATTTAATCATTATTTCAATCTATAAAATATTCAACAATTTATACTGCAATCGGTCGTATGTTACCGATCTTTAATAAAAGTTATATTTTTTTGCAATTAAATACATGTAATAGTCTATTTAATACTGGCTTAAAAAACATAAAATAAAATTTTTATAAATTATTACTATCGTAAATTACAAAACGAAGAACTAAACTATTGGAATGCGGAAATTGTAATCGAAACATTAAATTAATTTGATAGCGTTAATAATAAAACAAAACATTGAAAATAAAACTCGTATGTGAGTAATGCACACGTTAAAAAGGATAAGAGAAATTTGTCTCATGTATCATGGGTCTTTGTAAAGAAAAGAAATGTTAAGAAAGAGAAGATAAGGGTGGGAGAATAAAAAAAAATGGAAGACGATCGACGAGCGACATCCTTGTCCTTGTCGAGACACCGTCGTCGTTCGTAGTGGAGGAATGTCGAAAACAGCTTTGGCGTAATTAATGAAGCTGCGAGGGCGTTAAAAGCCGAGGCCAACCGCTATACATAAGAAATGATGTTCGGTCGTGCATAAAACACGAAGACTGCCCATTATTCGGCTGTACAACGTATTTTCGCTGCCGACCACATCTTTTCACAAGCAAAATGCCAGACGTTAGAGAGTACGACGACGCCTTTCGTTGGTAGGATAAACACACCACCGAAGAAGAAGATTAAAAATGTTTTGCTTGGCCGAGAGCCGACTTACTGGAAACGATGCAATTGTTTTTTTTTTCTTTCTTTTTTCACCAAACCAAACGAGAAAAACTTTCAAATTGTTTTCACGCATTTATAAATTGTCCAACCGTGTTATCGTATCGTTCAATCGTATAATATATCGATTTGTTTCTTATTTAAAAATAAGAACGCAGAATAATTATTTATTTATAGTTGAATTTTTTTCTAATGAAAAGTCAAGTCGAATATTTAACATTTATCATTATAATACAAATTTTATCACCATTATTATAACAAGATGTATGTATCTTGAAATCGAGCAAATATTAATTGAAAATATTTCAAATTGGAGTTGATAGTTCCTTCATAAAGAATTTTTATTGGTTGCCAAAGAGGATTAAAAAAGATTACACTTAAATCTTTTTTTGACGAGTAACGAATCAACCCGAACTCTCAATCCACTTTAAAAACGTACACCCAATTTGAGTGGTTTCATCAAAGTGAAAAAAGGGGTGTTAGTAGTAGGGACGATTTGTTCCAGGAAGAATTAAAGATGTCTCTATATAAGTTTACTTTATGATTTTAATTAGTTTAGTAGGATACGATTGATATTATTTATGTATATGAATACGTCGTTTATAAAAGATTTCCACTCTTCAGTGATATATCAAAATCTTGATGTTAATCGAATAAATCTCTGACACTTTCTCCCCCTCTCTTTCTCTCTTTCTTTCTCTTTCAGTTTTTTTCTTTATCTCGAGATGCGATTAAAGTCGAAGAAATCGAACGAGTAAATAAATCTTATCTAACGTTTATGTCAGAGGTTCTGCATAAGGATAAATGAGCTACGTTTGTATAGGTAATGTTTGCTTATATACGTATCTAGATATATATACATATAAGTATTTACATATACACGTATACGTTTAAATGGAAGGACGTGTGTACTAAAGATATTCCGACAAAGAGATCGTTGGCTCGTAGAATCGTCTCGCGATCTGACCAACGCATCGATGCAACGTCGTTTAGGGAATTATCGCAAGAAAGATGCTGGTGTATCCTTGCTCGAGAAAGATAGAAAAAGAAAAAAAGAAAGATAAAGAGAGAGAGAGAGAGAGAGAGAGAGAGAGAGAGAGAGAGAGAGAGAGATGCTCGCACGCTCGGCAAGCAATTTGCATCGTAATTAAGATTGTCAGTTTTGTTACTATCTTCCTCCCCGTGGTCGTTCTGGTCGCTTACTCGAGGACAGCTTCTAATGACGTTCGGTAGTAAATCCGACAAGATCTCGGCGTTTGACTCAAGTAATTCCGTTGGTGTCGATTCGCCTTGAAGATTTTTTCCAGCTACAGCTACGACTACTTTTGCATCCTGCAGCGTTCGCGTCAGGCATTCCTCGTTGTGTGGATACGTCGTGACTTTGCATCTCGTGTCAACGTGATTGAGCTCAGATGCGAGATACTCGGTCGTTTCCTTATCGTATAGCGAGATCTCATCGATCAGGGAGGATCGTTTAAGTAACAGGGACAAAAATCTTCCTTTAACATAATGTTAAACAATTTTTAAATAAAATATTGTGTTATAGGTTAATTCAATATTATAAATAACGTTTATTATCTAATGTATAATTAGTATTTTATAAATGAGATAGTAAATACCGGTTTCATTGTTAGCACCTAGTATTGCAACTTTCATAGATTTTGATAGAAGTATATTGGATTGTCTAAATCCTCGAATTAAAACTGTTACTCCTGATCTTGGTATACTCAAATATCCATACTTTTTAATTTTACATTTAAGAAAAGATATAGATAATCTTTGCCATAGATGATATTTTAATGATAACATTTTATCTATCTATATAAAATTTAATTAAATCTAACCATTATAAAAATTCCTGTCAAGTATAATAAATATATAGAACAGTAACAAATGAATGAATATAATGTTCCCACGATGATCGTTGTTTCCAAGGAATTCGTAGTAAGTTCAACGAGCGATAAGCCAAGAGTTCCAAGAGATCAAGAGCCGTAGTTTCGAAAAGACACGTCCAGACACCACCACATTCTTAGGATCCACAAATGCTTCTTCTTAAATGTTAACTAACGTAAGTCCTCGGTCTCTTCGTAGTGATATCTCTTGACACATTTCTTTCTTGGACGTAACTTTCTAAGGAACGCATTCACCGTTTGTTGTAGACTATACGAACGAACGGTTTCGTTGATATTATTTCTTAAAGTTTGAGAAGAAGAACTTTCTATTCTGTAAAGGACGATTTAACCACAGGTTATTTTTAGATTCCTAAAGAAACGATCGTATTTTTCCTACTTACCTTATCAAAGAAAGAATTTGTTATTGCTCACGTATTTGTAACGATTCATGCACAAGACAAGGACGAGGATGTGTGAGATAGTACTAAGATGGTGACTAGAAAAGAGAAGAAGGAAAAGAAGAAGAAGAAAAAGAGGAGAGGGAGGAGGAGGATAAAAGAGAGAAAGACCGGTCGCATCGGTAATGATATCCCATTACTATTTTATGCCACACTGATGCTGATGATTTCCTTCTGAAGAATTGCTTTGACCGCAAAGACCTTCCTCGAATCGCCCTCTTTTAACCTCTTCGAAATCATCGCTTGCGATCTTGGTTCACCGTGGAAAGACAGAAAGAAAGAAAGGAAGAAAGAGAAAGAGAGAAAAATAGAAAGAGAAAGATTCTCTCTTCTCGCTTTAGGAAAATGATCTGTGTGCCGATGTAATGTCGGTAATCAACGCGGCTACCTTCCACGATACCTCTTAACGAACCATAATCAATATAGCATTCCATCTTGGTACCTTTTATTTCGTCCATCATGCGTAACGAAGTCGTGTAATAGCACCCAAGAGCTAACCTTGAGTCGTGTGAAAGCTGAAAGATAGTTATACATAGGTTTTGCTCTATCGTGTTATTTCATTTCTTTTCTAACGTGTTTTTAATAATCGTCGATGCGTAGCTGAGTCAATACAACTGCGAAATTTATAGCCCATGCCTACTGCGATTCGTAAGCACGTTGCCAATGAGTCACGCTTGACCCAGAATATATACACTTACCTTCTACTAGTCAAGGTGGATCTTGACCTACCGTAAATGATTTGCGTGTGTTTCTTTGGCTTTGATCGAATACAAATCATTTCGATTTAGATTTTTTAAAATTTTTATTTTTTCAATATATTTTTATAATAAATAAGTTATGCATGTATTATTATATATATAATGTTTATATACATATTAGAATTTAAAGTAATTTTGTCATCTCGTTTTAAATAAAAATCGAGCTAAGAAGAAGTTGAATTTTTGTAATCATCGTCAGTCAACAGCTCGTAACGTACGAAGCTTTTTTAACAGCGAGTCATTAACTTCTGAAATGTCAGAGATACTTAGACGTGTAATTTGGAATTCTTTGTATATTTTGTACTATAACGAAGACAGCTTAATTTTTTGTTTTTGTTTAAAGAGTAGACAGTTGGAATGTAATTTTCAGACACGTTGAATTTTTTTACTAGCTTTCGTTTTAATTTTTAGTCAAGTCATCTTAGATATTTATTAAACGATTATACCTTTTATTGGAAAGTTAACGATAGTAATGCGAAGTACGATGGCTCGATGGGACACATTTAAAGGCGGAGTCAAGTAAACGCCTAGTCTGAATTTGAGTCACCGTTATCTATTAATAGTGAGATGAATATTCGAAGTATCCAAAATACTGTTATTTTTCATTGTCATGAATCTTTCAACATTACAGGGATTCGAAGATATTTATACAAAGAAGAAGAAAAAGAAGAAGCATCCGTAGAAGAAGGATTAGAAGAAGAAAACGATTTGAACGTGTGAGAAACGACAGAGAAGGAAATTTTATTAACTCGTTAAGTGCGACCTTAACGTTCGTTTTACTCTAGTGTAGTATTGATAAAGTAATATTGCGTTAATGCAAATAGCTAACTATTACTTGTGATTATGCGAAGGTGTTAAACGCAACGTTATCGAGAAGGCAATATTACCGTGGATGGATTATCTCAAAGGTGTGAGGCAGGTAAGTAACAATTACGTTACAACATTGACGATGCTTTACTCTTTTACAGGAAGGTCGTCGGTTATTATCTTTGGTAACGTCATAAACCTATCATTAAAGTGGACGTTGAAAGAAGCGTCAGTGCCAATAAACGATCGCTAAAGTTCAACGTTTTACTCATGATTTAGATCGTTCTTGGAAAGTCGTTAGCACGAAGAAGCAGAAGATGAAGAAGATGAAGAAGAAGTAGAAGAAGAATATTATCTTCACGTGGTATCCTAAGGAGTTAAAGATCGTGACTTTTCACGAATCATAATATCACCTTAAACGTTCAATACGTTCGCTTTTCATATAGAAAGAAAAGAAAAGGATTCTTCGATATCTAATTGTCTGTAATATTCGAAAGATCGTATTCGTGTAAATAGATATATACATACATTATTTATTTATTTATTAAAGGGAACTTTAAGATCCGTAAGAGTAGAAGATGCAAATGCATTTTCAATTTCTCGATCGTAAAGAGAATATTCCCTCTGACCGCAGAGAAGATCGAGCTGCTGTTGCTGCGGCTGGAACACGTAGCCGAACCACGGATAAATTCGATGCGGAGGTATGGCATATGTGTTGCATATATGACACAAAATTAAACCATCGAGAGAAAAAAAAAGAGAGAGAGAGAGAGAGAGAGAGAAACAGAGGATTCCATAGCGACTGGTAGTAGAGTCAGCAGAAAACAGTCTGGAAAAAGAGAATAAAATGAAAATTTATGTTTAGAGTTGGTAGGGTGTGTCCACATAAATTGGTGTCGTATAGCATTTAAAAACAATCGAAGAAAAAAAAAAGGAGAAAGTATCGAGACTGTAACGATTTTACATAGATGACTCGTTGATTAGTTTCATAGCGAACGAGATATTATATCGATGATGAAAATAATTTATGAAATAAATCAAACCTCTCGTGATTGTCGATGAACAAAAAAATAAAAAAATAAATAATTCACGTTTTATGAAAAGTTAATTTTCACGATGTTGATTACATACACACTTGATACATCTTGAAGATAGTATGAAAAAAAGAGAAACCGAAGAAAAAATAAGAAACAAAAGAAACTGTAATTAATATTGCGTTATTTAAGCATATTCCAATTACACGCTTGAAGTTTAAATGAAAAGAATCGATACGGTCTGTAATATGAAAAGGATGAATTATCGACGATACGAGCAAATCCGACAAATAGTTCTTTCTCTCCCATAGAGGAAGAACTATAGGAAACTATTGCGCTTAGGAATGCAGATCAAGTTCATAAAACATTTAAAACGTCCCATTCCGCGGAACATTAAGGCGTTAATAATATCAGCTAGAAGAGATGGCAGGAAGGACGGACGTATATTCGTTATATACGATCGCGAATGTGGTAACCTTAGAGGCTGCTAGGAGTCTGTTAACCGAGGAAGCCTTTGAATCTTGATAAGAGCAAATACAATCTACCCCTTAGAGAGGATCCTAGAGCGTGTGCGCGCGCCTGTCAAGCAACCGTATTGGTCAGTTTGCGCGGTTTTCCGAAGAGCCACCGCATTGCATCGTCTCGAGTTACCGACATCGTATCTACGTATGTACTCTCCCTACACCCCCCCTTACACACCACCCCCTTACACGCATACATATGTAACTAAGTGTATAGTTGAGTATACGTACGTGCAATACAAAAGTATAAAAGAAAGAGAAAGAGTAGTTTCTTGTTCTTTCCGCATTCCCGACACGCCGCGTGATGTTTTGCGTTGAACGTTCGAACGTTCGAGCAAATGTGGTTGCTTGCTAATATTCGTCTCCTTTAGGTTTACTTTTACTTTAATAAGTGCCAACTACGAAAAGAGATGAGAAAAAGTAGGAGAGGTAAGAATAAGAAGAGGTGTGATAGGTGCGAGAAGAGTTCTTAAATTCCGTGAAATTCCGGTACGATTACAAGGCACAATACAACTCGGCCACGCGAGCTCTCACCATCCCCACGAGGACTCTCCTTCGAGAGTTCGCCTTTTCCATGTAACCGTCCTCTATCTGTGAGTTACTACGTCGGAATCGGTGTAAATTCGACTTGTTAGCATGCTCGAAAAAAAGAGAGAAAAAGAAGAGGGGCGGAGGAGAAAGAGAAAGATCGAAAGGAGATCGCGAAATCGACCATTTTCACCTCACATACGATTTATGTAAAGACTTTAAAGTGTTTGCATACGCGCGTAGGCATGTGTGTTATCTTATTTACTTTCCGGAAAGGTATGGGGGATTTTTCTTTTTTTTATTCGTTACTTATACGCGTTGTGTATGCATGTATGTATTTAAAGTACCATATAGATTCTTATTTACGTTAAGATTTAACTCTTCGGTATGCTCGTTAATTAAATAATAATCGAAAACGTCGTGCAACGAGCCTAATGAGACACACACGGCGGCTATTTGAATGGCTTAAATAGCCAAGACGAGTCATCCATCTTTTCTTCCGACCTGCTTCTCGGGTAACTCATCGTGTTTCTATCTTCTTGCGATAGATGTACCGGTTGGCCTTGGTAATATAGACGACGCCCCCCCCCCC